CCCATGTCCTAGCTGCTGCCTTTCACCTGCAAGTAGCAAGATACTCTCCACTTCTCACTCACACTAATAAGTTCCACTCTTTTGACTTGCCTCCGACTACATCTCTCATGATTTCCATTGCTTAACTCTCAACTCTAAAGGCTCACATGTCTCCTAAAAGCAGTGTTCAAAATTAGACACAAAATTACATCTTTGGGACTTGCAAGACTTCTGGTGAATTATTTGCTACAAGCATTTTTCAGACATTTCCCTCTTTTTTAAAGTACCTTTTTGATTCTGCCCTTTTCCAAAGTAGGTAGTAGACCAGCCATGTCCTTTCCCACCCCCCACTTTTCTTTAGGGTAGTAAAAGATTCAATTAAATCCTTATTTGTCCTCCTCTTCTGTGGCTGAACAAACCTAGTTCACCACACCTCTTCTCCTATGAGACAACATCTGTGGATTACCTCTGGGCTCTCTCAGTTTACTTTTGTGCTGGTGGGACCTCATGCTACACACAGTGTTTGTGATCCCAGGGGAGATAAATGCAGGGTGTTAAATTGCCTCGCTCAACCTGCTCTCAGCCTGCTGGCCATGCTCTCAAGTCTGAGGAATTCTGAAATATGTGTCACCACTTTGGGGCCCAGCTTCATCTTCCAGTAGAGGGAGAAACTGGCTCTGGCCACAGCCCAGAGGGTTGCCCTACTCCTTATCTGCAGTCAGCAGCTGCTCCTGACCCCAAGGGGCTGCAGGACTACGGGTTTTGCCTGCTCTGGGTGGGAGGGAGGAGAGCAGAGGACCTCATTGCCTCCACACAGCCTCAAGGCTTGTGACTCTCTGCCTCTCTGGCATTGTCACTGCCTCCTTCAACTCTGTCATTACTCTGTTTTCTCCATGTCACCCTAATACCAATCCCTTTTGTTTTCCCCTCTCTCCCCTCTCCAATACTCCTTCACATTCCAGCCCTCCAGGCAAACAACTCAACCATGCTGCACCAAGAACCTCCACACTTGCATTTATGGCAACCTATTTATAACAGCAGATATAAAAACCACCTCCCACTGCCCTGCAGTAAGATGAGTGTTCCCGAGTGAGGTGGAATGGATGGGGAGGAGGGCTTTGGTAGGCAGACAGCATAATCCCTTGCTCCCAGCAAAGTCCCATCACGCACCTATGCTTACCAGGAGAGTTTCTTTTGCATTTTTCTATCTGAAAAGAGGTTGTAATGAGTTGGGAGTCAGCCTCTTCTCTCAGGTAACTAGCAATACGATGAAAGGTATTGTGGCTTCAAGCTTTGCTAGGGGGAGATACAGATAGGATATTTGGAAAATTTTCTTCTCAGAAAAAGTAGTGAGGCACTGGCACAGACTGCCCAGGGATGTAGTGGAGTCACTGTCCATGGAGGTGTTCAAGAAACATGGACATGTGGCACCAAGGGACATGGTTAGTGGGGATGGGTTGATGGCTGGACTAGGTGATCTTAGAGGTCTTTTACAACCTTAATGATTCTATGATTCTAAGCACCTGGGGACTTTCATCACTTGTACTTTCATATGAAGCATCTGGTAGTTACTCATAAGCTCATGCCTTTCTTCTTCTTCAAAGCACCACTTTAAAGACTGCACCACTTTAAAGACTAACTGCAAGGAGGTTCATAAGAGAGGATCTATCAGTGTATAGCCCGTGAGTGTGTTGAGGTGATGAGGAATCACCTTTTCTCCTTCCTTGTCTATCCCCCTGTTGTGTCTGATTTTGTGGTAAGGCTGCAAGTTCTTCAGGGCTAAGGCTACCTCACGTCTTAGCCTTAGTGTGACAATAACATAAATGATGGGAATGAATTTCCTATTTCAGTGTTACTGGAAATAGAATATGAACGGTCCAGCTGGAAGAAAATGCAGCTTTCCAGATTGCCAGTTCTTCAGCTCCTCAGCTCAAGATCTTCAGCACAACAACTGGACCAAGCCCAGATGTTATGCTTGACCAAGGCATCAAATATCCCTGATCTGAACGACCAAAAGAGCCCAGCTGCTCTCCTCACAGCAGTATTGTTACTAATTGGCATGGAAAGCATTCAGATTAAAACTCACAAGGATACAGATGTCGAGAGACACCCAGTAATCAATGACTACCCTAGCTTTGAGGAACACATGATGTAAGACTGGAGGAAAAGCACCAGCAAAGCATTAGTTGAACAGTATCAACCTGCACTACTGAATAAGAACAGACGTGCTAAATGTAAACACACTAAAACATTCATTAAAGTCCCAGACCCATATCAGGTAGATAGTGATATTCACAGAACCCTAGTGTATGAGATCATACATTTTGGGATCAAGCCTGACATCCTGCACAGGTCACAGATACTTATGTAGACGTTTTCCCTATCATTCAGTTTCTCCACCATGTTAGCAGTGTTCTTTTGCTTACTGTGGAACTGTGACAGAGGGTTTAGATCAATGCCACATTACCAGGGCCAAATTAATGTGGGAATTGCATTGTGTCCTGGAAATGACTGAGTGTTGTTCTAAGATTTTAATTTCAGTAAAAACAGAGTGGCAGGAAAACCAAACAATACTTCACAGGTTCGTTTACAGTCAGTACTTTACAACAGTGCACACCTTATGGAGACTGAGAATTTTGGAATGGAGGCAAAGAGTAACTTCAAGCTGAAAAAATCTGCTGTGATGTCGGAAGTTTTCTATTAGTTTCCTGAAAGAGAAGAGAGTAGTGAGATAAGCCTATAAAAGGAATCTGAAGATAATTTATAAACTTACGAAAAGATACTGTCAGCACATTTTTGAAAACCTCAGTAAGTTTTGTAGATAGTAAGTACAGAAGATACATGACAGCAAATTTTAGAATCATGTCTCAGGTTATTAATGCCTGTCGTGTTTTTGCATTATTTTCACAGCCCTAACGAAGGCTAGAGCCTCTTGTTATTTAACAACTTTTTGTACATTAAAACACTGGAACTGCCATGTTAGAGCAAAGGCCCCAGTGAGCCCATTTCCATGCTACTACCATGCTCCCAGACTGGCTTCTTGAGGGAGAATGCACCATGCACCTACAAGGCCATCTGCTTGCTGACTCCTGTGCCAATGAGGGTCCTCAGTACAGGAGAGTTTCCATCCCATTTAAAACAGGGTTTTCGTCCTAGCTATTATAGCTCTGAACACTACAATTATTTGCACGTACTTGTTTGTTTTTGAATCCTACTGGTCAGATGAACCAGATAATTTGCATTTGCCACCGTAGTCTGGTAGTTGTACTTCTCTGGTCTCTTACTTGTAAAACAAAACAAAACACACGTTTTACAAAACTCAGATGAAAAAATATAAAGGTTTTGTTATGTAAAGTTTACACATTTCAGTATAGCGATCACAGCCTTTAAGTCCAATAGTGCACAGTAAGCAATGTTCAGGCTGTGTTTTCAGCAGCAGTTGTTGAAACGAGGGAAACAGAACAATTGCTTTACAGAGGCGTTGCTTCCTTTAATAATTTGTGCCACATAAAGAATACTTTTCACACTAGGTCATTCAAGAGAGATTTTGGTGGAATGCGATCATTCAGTTTATGCAGCAAAACCAAGCTGCCACGATTTAATTCTGCTGTGTGTTCCATTTTTATATTGTATCCCCATCAGTTGTTAAAGCATAGCTCCTGCTAAGCTGAAAGCATAGAAGAAAGAGTTTCAGATCGCTTCTGAAAAGCTGGAAAATGTTTTATTCATGTATTTATAGCACATACATTGGAGGGAGTATCACTGGATTCAAGAGAGATTTGAATAGTCCTTCCTATACGAGATTTTGTTAGATCAGGGTTTTGGTTGCACTGGATAAAACAAACTGTTTTTCTTCAGCTCTGGGTCATTCATTATGGACATTTTACTGAAGACTAAAACAGAGAAATTATGCATTCATGAGAAGGAAGCTGAGGGCTTCGCTTGGAAAACTGAAGTCTGATAACCAAAGCAAGGATCAAGTATCTTTCCCAAGGCTACTGCATAATGGTAAAAACAAGACATCTTAGAGCACAAACTGCAGAAAGCCCGCTGCTTAAAGCTGCTGCAGATAAAATGATGGATTTACAACAACCAGCTTCTTCATCCGTGGGGGCCTAGTAGACCTGTACAGTGCATAAATGTAGTGTGTGCTATATAATGAAGGGCTTTGTGTGCTACTAAGCAGAGCCAGCAGATCCAATTTCAGTTATCTTTAATGCAAAAACAAGAAACATTTCCAATTGTATCTATTACAATACAGCTGCTGGATGATAATATCTGCTACCCAAGTCATTTCAGTCATATATAGGAAATCACTTCCCTACAAAGCCTGAAGGCACACAAAACACAAATCACTCTGAACTGCCTTTGATGCATGCATGTTTATATACATCCTCATATTCAGATAGGTGTCACTGTGAGCATTACTGCAGAGTCCACTGAAACCTGAGCGCGGGGAAATGCTGACTTGTGCAGATGCATGACAAGGAGCCAGGCCTGCAAGTGTTTGCTCCCAGGAGTCCTTCTACAGCTCACCAAGCCACCTAATTGCTGCTCTGGGGAGAAATGACTCCACATGAAATGCTGTGCTAATGAAATTAGAGTGTATGCCTGTGGTAAGCTAGCTTGGGAACATTTCCATCCTAGGACAAATCCTAAACATTTGGGGGATTACGCTAAAAGCTGGGAATATCTTGACAAATACCATGTTCATACCATGTTCGTTTTAGAAGTCATTAGCAGCATAAACACCCCATGCACACTGCCTTATCACACGTGGAGAAAGGCTCAAGCCAAACTATTTAATCTTGCTGAAAACAAGGAAGCTAGTTGAAGAAGCTTATGGGTGTAACAGTGTGGGACGTGGCCCAGAATATTTCACCTTGGAGAGATCACCTCTGAACACTCATTTGAAGTCCCTGCAGATTTCCAGACAAGCTGAAAAAAAGGGCTGTCCAACATTCAGAAGGAAGAAACAGTAGGCTGCACACAAGTTTAATTGCTCATTTTAGGTTATTTTGTTTGAATAATAACACTATACTTTATTCATGACTTATGTGGCTAGCATATGCTTACAACAAAAGCAGTGCCATGCAACAAACAGAAGCAGAATTGTTTCAGTCATTGCAATGTACATTATCCAGACACGCTCCAGCTGGACAAATTTGTGAAAGAAAAGCATAGGTAAGAGCTGGTCCCACTTACTATAGGTATCATTACAAAAAAAAAATGGGAGAGTCATGAAGTACATGGGCTCTATTTTCCTCCTGTCCCTCCCATTTCATTAAATAAATCCATCATGTTCTCTTTCACTGAGTGGATTGCTTCATCAGTGATTCTATTGTTCTGTGACGGAATGGAACAGAACAAAGGTTACCCGCTCATTTTTCTAACTCACTCATCTGGTCTGCTGAAAACTCAAGAGAGCCTAAATATGCATAAATACTATTAAAAAGCAATCTGTCTTTTTTTCCATAAAGCATGCCACAAACTGATCCAACCATTCCAGTTCATTTAGGAATTTGGCAAACATTTTTCTCCAAGCATATTCCTCCATTTCATCCATTTTACTAATACATCATAGAACAAAGGCTTTTTTTTTTTGGTTCTCAGTTTCTGGAATATTTGTATTTTCACTTTGTTGTTTTACCAAGAAAGATAAGCAGATAACAGCCAATGTAATGTTTTATCTTCTGAGCGTGCAGAGAAAAGCTAAGTAAGGGAACAATGTGCTCCGATAGTCCCTGCAGACCCCAAGATACGCTCAAACAGTGAGCTCTGATAAACCCATTCTGCTTCTTGGGTTTGTTCAGCCTACTGGAAAAGTAAAGGAAACACAAAGGACTGAGCTCTGCGCTCCCTCTGGAACTCAGGAGGCCTCTTTGGGGCCTCTTTTCCACTGAAAAAATGCAGATTGTTGAGCAGATTCTCCAAGTAGCTGGGTACTCTTAAATGCATTGCTGCATGTCTAGGGAGTAGAGACAATCAGCATGAATAGAGAGCTATTAGGAAGGAGCATACCTGAAAAGAAAAAAAACCACAGACAACTCCAGAATGTCATGAACTGTAAATGCTTAGTTTTGAATTCCAATTCAGTTGTTTTTGCTCCTCAGGAAAACATTGCATACATTCCTACTTTTAGCCTCTACCTTCATAAGCATGGTGAAACTTGCGATATTAGGATATTCTTATATTAATGTAGTGTGTGGGAAGCAGAAACCTAAAGCACTTAATTCATATGATCTATAACCACAAGCTGAAAAAACAACCTTAGCTGGTATAAGGGAAACAACTCACTGCCACAAGAAACAAAGGAAAACTCTGTTCAAGCGCCATTTGCCTAAAATGAATGCATACTACTACAAAAGGGAGGCCATAATAAACATGGAAAACTTACCCATTACTAGAAATGTTAATAGAATCTCACTCACTGCTTTCAGGGCAGAATCCAGGCTTGCAGTATCACTAAACCTTGCGGAGAGGAATAAAACTAATCACACTTCAGCATTTCTAGACCTTGAGGTTTTTAATCACATACACTGTCTCACTTAACAGCTCATTCATTTTATGCAGTTACAAGTTTCTGTGGTGTCTGGAAGTGCATATAGAATGCATTGCTTTTCCACCATTTTATTTACAGGTTCTCCCCTCCAATGAAAATCAGTAGCTAGTAAGTCAAAGCATAATTACACAAACAAAAAATACAATCAACATTTTACTAGATACAAATGATAAGCATAAGGAAATGTCCATGTATAACTCACATAAATCTGTGTTAGTTTGTTATTAATGTATGATATTATGGATTGGTGGTAATATAACTGGAACACATTGATTTAAAAAAATATTTAGAGAGCCACTTCTGTATGACACGGTCTTACACTGATATATGTATCCATACAGAGTAATAGGATCATATAATACTCATGTTCATCATCCTTTCCCCCCACCCCCTCCTTAGAAGGTATTAAGGTAATTGAACTTCCTCAAAGCTTGCTTTGACCAACTATCAGATATGAAGTGCTGACTGACACAGAAACAATCTGTGCAAGCATAGCAATTTTGATTCAGAAAGGTTTTAAAAAAATATTTACAAAGGTCATTTTTAAATTGACTGATTAAGTTAAGACTCCAATCTTCATATTCCAAACATCTGATATTTAATGTCTCACTTTTTGGCTTTTCCCCCCCTCCTCCCCATTCCTTCTCCCCACCACAAATAATCAGCCCACGTTTAAGGTAAACCATCACAATTACAACTCTTCAAAACAAATAGTTATTTACCTTGTGCCAAAAAAAAAAAAAAGCAGCACTAAAACATTACTCAAGAGATTCTATAAATCCTTCATAATTAAGAAAAGTTCTAGGAGCAAAAAAAAAAAAACCACCTTGTACAACCTGTAGAACTTGGGAGGAGAAACAGGGGAAAGAGGAGATGCTTATCAAACCCTTCACTTTTTTCTCTCTGAACTTCATTAACAAAAAGCTCCTGGTACATTTCCCAATGCTTCCACACCTCCTTGCTCTGGCACATAAGGTTCAATATGCAAACAATTTAAATAAAATATCAAAACCAAATCCCCACGGTCAGTAATTCAACCCTTAGGAAAACTGGTAATTTTTAATAGTTTCAAAACTAGCCCTGCCTGACTAGCCATTTGGTTAGAACTCTGAAATTAAAACAGGAGGATTCTTACAAGATGTGGTATTCTGTGTTTAGACTTGCAGCAGTTTCATACAAATTAAGTGTGAAAGAAACCTCTCTCGCTTTTACTTTGCATCTTTTGCATATATTCCTACCAGCCATAGACTATAACTGACTGTATGGGCTGCGTGAGAAACAGAATCAAACTTTTGTTTTCTAGTGGTTCTAGGAGCTCTGACTTTACTGAACTTAAATGGAGGGTAAAAGCCTCTTCAAGGTATCATTCTAAGCTGTAGATAAAGTCTCTAGCCTTCTGTCTTGGTGGAGCATTATCATCCATCCTTATTGTGAACGCTGTATTTCTTCTGAACTTTAAATCAGAGGGTGTCAATACTGTCTTTTTGCTTCCATCATTATGCCAATTTCAAACTTGTTTGGTGAAAGAGCACATTATTTCACCTCCATGCTGAAGATGATCACATCCTTTTCATATTGGTCAGCTTTGGAAAGTCAGAAACAGTGGGGGTGCTTCTCTAGGTCAGACTGGTACTAGTTACAGTATGGAGTGGAACCAAGCTGGTTTGATGCAGAGTTTGGACTGATTCATTTTCATGCTAGGTCGAAGATCTAGCCATCTCAGATGGTTCAGGAAACTGGGTGGGGGAGTGGTAGCCATTTTCCTGCCCTTCTCTTAACAGCAAAAATACAGAAGAGAAACTGAGAGAATGAAAAGGAGGCTTGTGGCGGAGTGAAGGGCATTTCCATGTCCCTGAACGGTGGTACTGTTCAGTGAATTTACGGCAGCTGGCAAAGTGGAACTTGCTGAAGAATTGTTTGAAGGTGTTGGACTTGTTCCATTGGGATCACAGTAGATCTAGAATATGGGTAGAAAAAGTTAATGAAAAGTGATTTTTTTTTTTCCTCTTTAAAAATAAAATCAGGAGCCAGGCAGTCTTTTGGATTCTTTTCAAGGAATGATGGGCCTATTTAAGTGGCCTTTGCAAGACAATAAAGGGGAGGCTAAAAAGCTGTGGCAGTAGTACCAAACTGCAGAACTTAATGGAATTATACTGATTAAATCAAAACCTATTGGCATGCTAGCACAGACAATAAGAAGTGCAGTGGAAAGTCCATACAATACCAAATAGAAAAGATGCTGACAAAGAACAATAGAAATAAAATCCCCATACAACATTAATAGTGACAGAACAGTAGAATTTTGCATCTTATGTAACTTCAGCATCAAGCTATACCCTGCACACACAGGAAAACTTTCAAAGCTAAGCTTTGAAGCTGGTTCTTCCCTCCCAATGGAAGATGTGCAATATATAAGGGTGGAAAACAAAGGTAAGACTCATGAGGGGGAGAGGGGAAAAAATGCACAGTTCAGCAAGCTTGGCTGTAGTTCTGCACCAGCAAACCTGTGTTAAATCAGAGCCTTCTGGTACACCAGAGTAGGGCTTGCTGAAGTAAAGAAAAAAATGTTTTTAATGAGCAACTACTTTAGTAAATACTCTCCATAAAAGAAGTCTTTATTGTCTTGTATTTCCAGGGCTGCTGAGAACATTACTGCCTTCAGCAGAAGTGATATATGTTGTACCTCAACACTGGAGCTATTAAATCAATGTTAAATACATTCGGAACTTGCATGACCGTACCCCTCCAGCATTCCGAGTAAAAGCACATCACAGAAAGATACCAGGTTAGTACGAAGCCTCTGATTAAGATTTTTGGCAAGCAGAAACATACTGGAAACAATTCAAGACTGCAGAACTTTGGGTAAAAAAAAAAAAACAAACAGTGAAGTTTCTGTTGAAACCAGTCAGAAAGTGATCAATACAGAACTGCAGTTAATACCCTATAAAGTGGTTAGGAGATAAGACCCAACCTGCCCCAGAGTTTTCTCAGTGTTCACACACACTCCTCCTTCCCTGTTCCCCAATGGGATATATATATTTTTTTAAGTTACCTTGGGTGCGAGCATAAAGCCCGGATTTTGGGTGGGTGCACAAAGGGAGGGCTCAGAGACCCCAGACAAAGCTTCCTACCTTCCCTTTCCAGACATCGGCACCCACACGATCTGATCCTGCTCTACTGAGGCCAGCGAAAAAGGGACGAAGCTTTTATTCCCAAACAAAACCGCAAGCGTATTTTAAACAGCCTCTAGAAAGCTCCTCGCCGCTTACTCGCACCGTGCGGCGATACCGGCCCTTTTCACGAGGAGTTCTGAGGCACCCGTCCACGCAACGTGGACGAGCACCGCGCCGCCGCCCCACCCAGCAGCCGGCGGAGCTCGGCGGCACGGCGATGCCCGCAGCCAGCCCCGGGCTGCAGCCGTGCCCCACCCGCGCTTCAGGGTCTCGCACCAGCGGGACCGACCGTCCTCAGGCTCTAAGTCTGATTTATTCGCAGGGGCCGCTCGGCTTTACTCGAGGCGTTTATCCCTCTTCTTCCCAGCGGGAAATCAATGCTCCTTCGCCACGCGGCACCGCACAGAGGCGAAGCACCCGCACGGCTCCCTCGAGGATCCCGCAGACAAAGGGGCGAGAGCCAGCCCCGCCTCACGGCACCGAGCCCACCCGCCCGAGCTCGCCCCGGTGCAGAGGCAGGGGCTCCGGACGGTGAAATGGCGGCCCCCGCCCCGCAGGCTTCCCCGAAGGAGCTCCCCGCCCCTCTCCCGCTCCGCGAGGGTCCCCGCGGGGCCGCGCTCTCTCGCGGCGAGGCTCACCTGCGTAGGTAAGAGGAGCGCCAGGAGCAAGAGCCCCAGGCCGAGCCGCGCCGCCAGCGCTGTCCCTACGGCCGTCCCCATACCCTTCTGCTGCTGCTGCTCCGCTGCGTGCCACGCCGATACTACTGCCGACCCAACCGCTGCGACAGCGAACGAGACGGCTGAGCCGCGCCCGGGCTTTTTATAGCAGCGCGGGCTGCCGTGATGCCCCGCCGCCGCCGCCTTCCCCGCCTCCTCCCCGCACCTTTGCCCCCGCCCCCGGGCCCGGCCCTGCGCTGCCCGCGAAGCGCCGGCTGTGGGGCCGCCCCGGATGGGGTCCGGCCTCTGGGCAGAGCTGTGTTTCCCCGGCTGTGGCACTGTGGGCAGAACGTCTGTGCCTTTGTCTTGTGCCCGCCTCGTGCCCTGGTACTTGAGGGGGCTCAGCACGGCGTGGTAGGGGTTGAGTTGCAGTTACTCGAGATAAATTCTGCTTATAAAGATCACGGAATCATAGAATCACTAAGGTTGGAAAAGTCCTCTACGATCACCTAGTCCAACCACCAGCCCATCCCCACCATGCCCATTAACCGCGTCTCTCAGTGCCACACCCACACGGTACTTGAACACCACCTCCCTGCGCAGCCTGTGCCACTGCCTCACCGCTCCTGAGAAGAAATGGTTCATATCTCCAACCTGAACCTCCCCCGGTCCTATCACTACACAGGAGAAGGAGCCGACTCCCACCTCACCACAACCCCCTTCCAGAGAGTTGTAGAGAGCTATAAAGTCTGCTCTTCTCCAGACTGGACAATCCCAGTTCCCTCCGAACATCAGGCTTTTCATTTAAATGAAAAATTAAACTGAGCTGCAGGAAGATCAGGTAGAGAAAGCTGTATTTCCAGATGATAGAAATGAGGGATGAAGGGTTGAGGAGCTGAGGCCCCACCTTCCCCCTGGCTGTTAGGTGAGTGCCTTCCCACCAGTGCTCAGGCTTCAGGACACAGCTTGCAGTTTCTTTGGACCTGAATATTTTATTGTTATCATTATTCCTTAAAAAGCAGGAAAGCTGTGTAAGAAGTGGAACAGGAGGTTCTTCCAGTTGTAACCTGCACATAAGATTCTAGCTTCTGGCACACTGTGGCTGTATTGTGAATCCTCCCAGGTAGGTTCTGCCTCACTGAGTTGATGCAATCCTTACTCTATACCAAGATGAAAGATCTTCAGAGAGTTACACAAAGCACTCCTGAAGCACTCCTGGGGTAATGTTTCCCTGGATTTTGGTGTGTGTTTGTTTTTAAAATCTCTGAATGTATTGAGGCTCCTGTTCCTTACTATTAGAAGCATAGTCTGTACTGATCTTTGAAACTGAGGATCTTATATTTCTGAGTGTTTCCTGGTTGTCTGCTTAAAGCTGGTGACGAGAAGTTGGATTTTCATGATTCCAGATATCTGAATCCCCTATGGGAGCAGTCACGTGAATCACAGCAATGAAGTGAGGCCTTAGACTATTCTGACACCAGATCCCCATTGTGCTACTGCAGGAGATGCCAAAGGAATGTAACCTTGCTAGGGCTTTCCAACAGCCACAACAAAGATGATTCTAGCATAAAGCAGACAATTTCCTTTACAATCTCTCCCACCTTTTACGGGAGAAAAGGCAGTGGTACAGCTGTTGCATGATCCCCTGGGGTTACAGCAGCAGCTGAGACACTTAAAGTCAAAGCTAAGACAGGTGGGAATGATGGAATAGCAATCAGACAGCCTTTCCCATTCTCTCTACCCAGTGCATTTATCTGAGGTCTGGAACTCTGTCTTAGCAAGGCTGGTGCAAAGCTCATGTAAGGTGACTTGAACATACAGAGCACTGTATCACTGCTAATTATCATTATATAGTATACTGCACTTCTGGTATTTTAGCAAGTTACATTGCAAAAGAGGATATTTCTTCTTGCTAAAATGTTGGACAAGCTATTCGCTTGATGGTCTTTTAAAGAAAGAAAATGCAGAGATTTTAAAATATATGTCAGAAGAGATAAAATACTAAAATAATGAAACTGTGTAAAGGTTATGTTCTGAGGTCAAAAATCATGCCTTTCTGAAATATTCCTGAAATACTCAGGCAAGTATGGCAAATAAGGAGGTATACTGGCAGCAATGAAGAGGAACTCTCCAGTGGATTCTCTTAAAGATTTATCTGATCAAGACACCAGGACACGATGTATGGATATTTGTACAGAGATGAGAAATACTGAGTTTAGAACCGTACAGAGTGAAGTACTGCTATCTGGTGGCCAATAGGCACTTCTGATCTTTTTTTTTCTCTCATAAGAGGTGATGTACTCTCTCAAAACATCCTCTACTGTGTATTTTAAGAGGTTCCATGGTGCTGAAATGTGTTTTTAGGTATCATTTTTAAATGCTCACTTTTCTGCTTCCTTTATGTTTTAAGGTCAGAAGAGCACTCAGCATTTCTCCTAGTCAAATATGTCATATTTGATGAGAATGCGTAACAAAGAGAAGGGCTAAAACTACTTCAATCTTTTGGGTTAAATAGAAGTCAATTTGCATATTCTGCTGGTGACTTTTAAGTTGATTCAACTTTGCATTAGACATCATTTTCAATAGTGATCAGAAGCAAAACATGCGTTACTTTGCATAAGATATTAGCAAACAGGATCCGCTGAAATGGGTGGCAATAAACAGGAGCCATCTATAAAAGGAAATGGAGAAGTAGTCTCTGAAACTTAAAAGTAATGCATTTGAATCTGGACAAGCTTTAGCAAAGTAAGTGTAGTCAGAGCACTGAATAGAATTCATGAGAACGAATTTTGACATAGCCATTAATTTTCTCTTGCCTTTATCTGCCAGTCTTGATCCATTTAAGCTTAAATATTTCAGGAGCATCAGTTGCCAAGGAGAATCACTGGATCCTGTGCTCCCAACCAGCTCTTCACTCTTTGGCTGTGTATAGATCGAAACTGTCTTCACACTATGGCACATCCCAGGCTCTTCATCCATTTTAAGCTCATGCCAGAGTGCACTGCAGCTCTCAGTAGTCACCTGGGTCATAACTGCATTATTTTACTTAATCCCCAACTGCGAGCATGTGTTGATACTTTAGATCCTGATCGTTTTACAAAGGAGAACTTGGAAGAGAGAAATGCAGCTTCCCAGTGTGCACTGTCTAGCCTGCATATGCTGATCTATGCTGACATCCTCTGGTGGTAGGCTTCTTTGTTGTCCATTTATCCTGAATTTTGCCTTGAGAAACTCACAGGTCAGTATTTACTAACATATAAGAACAGTATCTTTTCCTTATCTAGGCTGGCTCTCTTGCTGCTGGTTTAGTGGGAAGGATTTATCTTGCCAGAGCATCAGAGCTCCAGCCACATAACCAAATCTTCCCAGCTCTTTTGAAGCACCCTTCTTTACAAATGCATCTTCACTAGCATTGCAGAACAAGTCTGAAATTGTGACTGGTTGAAACTGATTTTATATATCTGGTCCATGCTGTTAGGTGTGCATCTTGATTACTTGGAATATATTCTGAGGATTACTTCTTCCATTTGAGGGTTTACAGTCTGTTTTTTGGCATTGTTAGTAGAGATTTTAATGGAAGACAGGTTTGGTGGGACTGTAAATATCCACTTGGTATTAACTTATCATTGGACTAAGTTATACATGTGTTCATAAACAGGCCTTTACTGGCATGATCCAAACCATCACTGTAACAGGTTTCTCTTCTATGCCAAACTGAGACAAAAACAAACAAAAAACCAAACAGAGTCAGGCTGCTTAATTAGAGGTGTACAGTTATGGAGGTAAACTAATCTACAATTTTCAGCCCTGGAATCCTAAGTCTAAAATAATGTCAACAATAAATGTTTAAGAATAGCTGCCCTAATATCAATGGATCTTATGATTTCCTGGTCAGTTCACACAGTAGAGCAAAAGTCATTTGCTCCATTTTCTGCTTTGAGGTAAATTTAAAGGAAGCAGGGAAAATTCTGATGAACAGGCTGGAGCTGTTTGTTATAGAAGACAAAACAAGAATGAATATGATTAAAAGATGCAACAATGAACAAGATATAGAGGATAGATCAGCTGTTCTTCCCATTTTGTCTTAGAAAAAGGAACAAGTTTGAATTGAAAAGATGGACAGCTGCATCATGGATCACGTTAAGACTTCAGGTATCTTTTTAGATAGGAAATTCTTTACTGCAAGATATTAGACAAGGTACAGGGAGGGATATGACACTTATCAGTGAGAACATCCAGAGCTTAAATGGAAAATATTGCAAGGACACACTTTCATGGAAGATAGATTTTCCTTCTGGTAATTCACACATTCTCTTCATACTTCTGGACCTGAATGCTGGGCAAGATATCCTTGACTCCAAACAATATGATTGTTCTGACATTTCATCCATCCCCAGTGCACCTTTATTTATATTATTTCCTTTATTTTTTATATATATCAAAGGCGTATTGAAGTCTACAGATACGTTTCTCTTTCCTGATGCAGTACTGCTTGTACATGCTACTGAAGGTAACGTCTCTGAGTCACAACAAAATGTGAAGTACTTTGAACAGCCTTTTTTTCTGCTTTTACAAGCAAACCCAACATAAAACATTATAAACAAACAAACAAATAAATGCTTTTTTAACTGTACACAGGTGAGGGAACAATCTAAAATCTCTCTTTGGTAATTAATTATATTAAAGTTATTTGTGTGTATATCTTGAATTAGGTGCTATCAATTGGAGAAGAGAATGCTACATTCTAAGTAGTAAAGCCATTAATCTGAGAAGAATACGGAGAAAACAGAAGTAAATAAGTAATTCAAACTAATTAACATTTGTTCATGGAATATGTAGTTGTTTTGGCTAATAAGTAAGTTTCAAATAACAAATGCTTAGCTGATTATTTTTCCTTCTTGTTACATTTGCCACCTGCTGTTAGCAGGAGCTAGATAAATCCTAGAGCTGCAATCAAAGCTAGCACAATTGTGGTCACTGCAGAATGAATGCATTTCCACAAGCCTGTATTAAAACCAGTACATTAACTTTTTCTACAAAAACAAAGACATTGTATCTTATTACCAAACAAGGAAAGGAGGAAAAACATTTCTCATTGCAAACCTCTCACCAAACTGAGGAGTTGAAAAATTAGCAATGGAACTATGGAGCCTTAACCTGTGGGTAGCTGGACTGAATGCCAGGCTAACTAAAGGAAGC